CAAACTCCTAAGATGAAAATAACCCAAAACAAACACAGAAAAACACATAGTACTACAAACCTAAAACCAGAAGAACACTATATGAAAATGAACTAATATAATAGGAATAAAGTCCTCCCCACAGCCGACATGCTGTTCTAAACCCCCACCGCATGAGACGAGAGCCAAAGACGCACCCCTAAGACCGGCCACAACCCAGAGAATGAATCTAGCTACCCCCTTAACCAGGAATTGATGACGGCTAACATAGATCCCTAAATTGAAACCAAAGGCCATCATTGGATTCGTACTCGAAAGGCCACACCATATCCTTTCGCACTAGGGTTTTTCATTGGGTCGAATTCGAACCGAACCGACTGAATTTTCGGTTAACCGAAAATTCGGCTTATCCATTATAAGAATAAAAAACTGGACCAAAATTTATGGTTCGGTTTGGTTTTTAATCAAAAATTGTTTGTTGTGTTTTTGTCGTGTTTTCCATGCCTTGGTTGTGTCATTTTTTGTTCGTTTTAGAGTTGACCGGTCTATTTTATTGTATTTCGTGTATTTTTACGTTTGTCGTGTGTTTTGTGTATTTCCATAATTTCTCGTTTCTTTTGGTGTTGACTAGGTCCACTTACAAAATGAGGGAAGATGAGCCGTCTGAGCCATCATCCGAGAGAGAGAGATACTCGATCCAAGGTTCTAGTCACACTCGCCGCGAGTCCAAGTTCGCGAGGCTCCGAGACATGACCCGCGCACAATACACTTGCCGGGAAGCCTCCATCCGCGACCAAGTGAGTACCGCGAGACCCGAGCACTCACTGCGAGGCTCAACCCGCGACCGTGCGAGATGCCTGAGTGACGTGCCCAGCATCCTATCACTCGTGACGCGAGGCTCATTTCATGACCTCACGAATGCGTCGCGAGTTCAAGACCCTCACACTCGCTGCGGGTGTCATTTCGTGACCGCGCAAGCACTGACGCGCGAGACCAGGCACTCGCGACACAGCGTGCCTTTTTGCGACCTCGCGAGTGCGTCGCGAGTTAAGCTTCGTGCCAATGCACACTCGCAGTGACCCAACATCCGCGTGCACGCGAGTCCGGGCGCGATACACATCCAGCGCGCATGCTCGCCCGCGAAACTCTAGTCGGTCCCCTGCGAGTCTAGGCGCGAGAGAATACCCCAGACATCCAGCCGCTCGCCAGCAAGATCTAGTTCGCGGCATCGCGAGTGCGACCCTGCCAGCCCGTGCACACCATGCATACTTGTTGCGAAGTCCATTTCGAGACCTTGCGAGTTTAGCTTCATTAAATGTGTGTGCACCTAGTGTGTGTTTTTGGGGTGTTGGTATAAACTTTGTATTTGGGAACCTAGACTTCATTTTATTTTATTTCCCTCTTGGGAATTACTGTCTTTGTATTATTTTCTCTGTAGACAAAACTTGGGAGGTTCTAGCCGTACTTTTCTGGTTAATTTTCTGGTCATGCTTGTTTTTAATAAAGACTCGATCTTTTCGCATTTATTTCGCTCAGGAGTGCATAGGGAAGTAAGTACCTATTGTTAGGGCTTATTATCTCGTTGATTGCTCTACTTAGTTTTAAGAGGTGAAATTAGTTTCTTGTCGAAATGTGTGTGTTGAGTTCGTTGCTAGTTAAAGTTCCGACCTTTTCATATCTATTGTGCTCGGGATTGCATAGGGAAGTAAGGACCTTGCCTTAGGACTTATTATCTCGTTTATTGCTTTAGTTTACTGACTTAGGTTTAAGAGGTAAAATTAGTTTCTCGTCTGGTATTTGTGTGTTGAGCTCGGTTCTAGGTCAAAATGCTAACTTTTGTTTTGTCTTGCTTGTCGAGTGTGATTTGTTGATTAAAGTTTGAATCTTTTGAGAGAAAGATCGGGACTTTGCTCAAAGGTCAATTACTTCGTAATTATTTGTTCGACTTTAGTTCTAGTTGCATGAGATATGGCTTGTTTATCTTTATTTGATCTCAATTACACCAGGACTTCACTTCGCTTCGCTTCGTTCGTTGGGTCGACTATTGAAAATTCTTGACTTCACTGCGCTTCGTTCGTTCCTCTCCTTGAAGTCAATTCATTTCATCGAACCTCATTTCGGGACATCGTCTTTTCTCGGATTTGAACACTCCGATGTGAGTAATGTCTAGAGTTTTCTTCCAATCTTTCATCTTTTCTTAATTGCTTTCAAGTGCTTAGCTTAATTTAGTGCGAAAATCAACCCCAATTCTCTTGCTAGTATGTTTAGGGCTTTATTTTCCCTTTTTGTGCTTTTGAACAACTAATTAGTAGACGAAGATCCGAAAAGTCTTCCTTTGAGAGATGACCCGAGTAAGATCCTTCGATCGTATTCGGCCAAAAACAACTAAACAAAATCTAGTTGTCGGTTCGGTTATCGGTTAATCGTAATAAATAATTAATCTTCTCAATAAATTCCGAATATTTAACCAAACCAAAATTTTGATTTTTTATCCGAATCAAAAAATTTGAATTTTATCACCTTGTTTAATCTTCTCAATAAATTCTAAATTCTCCTCAAAGGGAGATCTCGGACCCAAACCGTGACTTGGACTATGATGAAACCAATCTTGACTGCAAGTTAATGCTTAATCCATTTTAGGGATCATTGAACCTTGAAAATCATTAATCATTGAAGCAAATTAATGCTTTTGTAACTTATATTTATAAATAAAAGTACACACAAACAGACACACACACATATATATATATATATATATATGTGTGTGTGTGTGTGTGTGTGTGCATAAATCGTTTTTTGTTTCAGTTAGGTTAACCGATTACTATTATTCAAACCGAACAAAAAAAACGAATTTTTAAGAAAATGTAAATTAAAAGCGAACCAAATATTCGATTTCGATTTTGGTCCAATTATATTTTTGGTTTCGGTCGGTTTGGCTCGGTTATCCGAACTTTGTGCACCCCTATTTCCCACAATAACCTCCCTCCGAAGACTCAATGGATAGTGGAGGCGTCGGCCATACGAGCAGTCCCGCAACCACGACTTACCAGTAACTAAGTCGTCATTCTTGTTTACTGAATGTCGGAGTTTCTACACCGGAACAACCACTGACGCTGTTTTGCAGGTCGTTCACCGGCTCGAGAGCAGATCTAAGGTCGTTCAACCGGGGTTTTTTTTTTTTTCGTTCAACTGGGTTAATTAAGGTAGTTGACACTACGACCTTTCTGTATGATAAATGAAATATTGCAATCACGTGAAATTTTTTTATCTTATGTCGTGGCATAATATAAATGAAATAGTTAAATCCATCATTTTGGGAAGATTTACATAGGTGCTTGTCGCAATAATGAAGTTTGTCCAGTGATTTAAGACATGAGTAATTACCCCTTTAACTACTCATGTGGTTTATTTTTTAATTGTCTTGCACATTGTGCATTACAGTTTGACTTCAATCTGACGATTGTCACTGCTATTACACGATTACGAATATATTGAACCCTGATAAGCTAAGAAACAAAGGTAAACTGCAATTTCACGAGTTTTTCACATGAATATATTGAACCCTGATAAGCTAAGAAACAAAGGTAAACTGCAATTTCACGAGTTTTTCAAGTTTAAATGAATCACTAATACAATACTCGTGTATTATACGAATACTTATTTAAAAAATTATATTTAAATTTAAATAATAATAACAAAAATTATTTTAGTTTTTAAATACTTTTTTGAAAAATATATTATTATTTAAATTTAAATTGATACCGTCACTTACGACTTAACATCTTATATTATATACTTTTTTACATCAGATAACTACTTTGTAGTTCAGTTAGTTTAAATACTTATATTTTTTCAAATTAATATTAATAGGTAATTTAAAACTCATTTAAAACTACTTTATTCAATATTAATTTTGCTATGGAGTCATCTGATGGCTCGACTTTAGAGTCATCTACACTTATTCTTCAATAGTGTATTGACACGTGTCCTATAATAAATACAATTTGGACTGGTGTCAATATATTAAGTGGTGGATGGCTTCATAAGAAAACCATCCGATGGCTCCATATGTCAATATATTAAGTGGTGGATGGCTCCATAAGAAAACCATCCGATGGCTCCATATAATATGCATTTTGAATGATATAAAATATGGAAAAATAATACATGTATGAATAAGTTAAAAAACTCATTTAAAACTACATAATACCAAATCTACGGAATTATCTTAGGATATACTCTCATAAGAATATGATAGAGTTAATACATACAATTATTGGAGACAATAAATTTATTGTAATGAAAGAGATATTTATAGGATGCAATAATGTAGGATCAAATCATTATTTATGGTTGATTTCAAGTCGATTATGTTTCCAAATTTTTTATCCGAACCTAAATACGAAGCATAATAATTTGACACGTATGATTCCAAATGAGTTTTCCACTTAGGCTCAACACGTTTTGAATTAATATATACAGGGGAATATCATCGTTAAAGACAATTACTAATAACTATAACAATAATAAATCTAGCTTTTCAATAGTTCACTAACATTTAGAATCAATATACATGCTATTATAGACACACACATATCTCTCTTATCTATATATGAAGGAGTTAGACTAATTGTGGTAGTGACAAGTGTCCAATTTAGACACTCTCAATGAGTGACAAGTGTACACAATTTATTACAGTTTTGTCATTGGATTCACTTTTTTTTATCTTTCCAATGATTGTTTTTTGCAAATTATAAAATTACATAAAACAATTACAATTTTTGTCTGGAGACCGACGTACTTTTCTCTCTTATCTGGATTTTCTGTTCAACAATATCAGTAACTTCCCATCCGAAATTTTTGGCTCACTTTTGCACGCTACTTTACCATACAACATTCACACCCCGAAAAGTAAAGAAGAAGATAAGAAGGCGACCATAAAATTACCCAACTACACAATCTCTCCCACACGCAAATAAAATAAGTCACAATTCAAAAATTTCTCTCCTTTTCTTACACAGAGCACCCACGATTACACAGACTCACGAGGCGACAATCGCGTGGTGGATACAACCAGAGCGGCGTGGTGGCTACACGGGTCGGTTGGAGAAAATAGGTTAAAGGCGATTGAGATGGTTAAAGCAACGATTGAGGATGGTGTGTGGGCAGGACAAGTCTCATCTGCAACCATTTCTTCTTTCCCCGAAATCACTCGCAGCAGTTGGGATTTTCTTTCGATTTGTTGTGACCTCTGCCTCTCTCCACGTCTTCTGTGATGTGATTTCCATGAATTGTGTTGACTCTGCAGAAAGTAACTTAATTGTTAAGAATTCCCGCAACGTTTACTTTTCACATATATTTCCACTCTTCTCAAACTTGTTGTCTCTCTAATTTTCTTTCTCCTTCATCCCGACCACTGCCGCTGTTACTTCATCGCAAACAGATCCTAGCCGGCCTGTATCCGTTAGGGTGAGTCTCCGTGTAGTACTACTGCAACGGCACAAATAGGGAGCGGACTGAATTTAAATAAATTAGGGCAAATGGAGAGCTTGCCGGTACTCATGTGCATCGGCTCGCCGACTGAAAGCGGTGACCCCGTCGAGAAAAGGCAACGACGGACTCTTGCCGATTCTCTACTACCAAGGCACAAAAGACGAGGTATTGTTTACTTGCCCCGATTTACATTCTTCTCTCTGCAAATGGTTTGTCGTGTGTCAAACGTGTTGTATGTTGTTTATTTGTGCCACATGGTCATGGAGAAGCTGTGACTGTCCAGAAATTTCTGGCATGAAGAGAGAGGTTTGAAGCAGAATTAGCACTTGAGATTGGCAAGTGAGTTTTCATTTGTTTAATCCTTTTGTTCGTTATATAATTTTAATGTGTGCTAAAACATGGTCTGAGAAGCAAAGTGTCACATGGAGGGAGTGTTTGCAAGGTCTATAGACAGGGAAAAAAGAGAGCAATAATTTTTAGCTTTTATGGTGAAATAAAGGGTGTATGTTTCCCATCAGGAGTTAAGAACTTTAATTTGGCTCCATTGAGTTTTAGCTTAGTCAGTGACATAATTTTTGGCCAGTTTAATGAATGATAAGATAATATATATTGATCATTAGTGCTTACAGTTTTCATGCACACAAAATTTAGGCTAATGCCTGATTCACCACTTGCTGCACTGAAAGAGAGGAAACTTACGGGCAGGCAATGGTTTGAAAGTGGACGCGCTAGCTGGGTACTCGTTTTGTTCATTTTATTTTTTCCTTTTGTAGATCTCAAGAATTATAAATTATTGGGTTAACAACCCAATGATCTTCTGTACCATTTTTGAATTATTGTCACGGAAGTTTGAGCTTTGTTCTATTATCTTTTTCCATCTAAGATAGGACTTTTGCCTTCTGCTGCTCACTGCCCTACGCCACACTTATAGTAAGATATACTATCTCAGGTTACCGTGAATAGGCGTAAATGCACTTATAGGAGCATGACTGATAACTATAAGTATCATTTATCTCAAAATGAAATATAGATTCATAGCCAATTACTAGGGGGTGCTTTTCGATTCAACGTGATCCACCAAGGAGCCATCAAAGCTGAATCTGGCTGATCTAGACGTCAAAGAGGACAAGGCCCTCGCCTTCAACTGTGTCGGCGATCAACAATCAGAGGGGTCCTGATCTCCCTTTCTGTAGCTTGCGGTCAAATGAAACATCAGATACTGAATTACGGATCATAGTTACTTATTGATTCCATAGGCTTTACAAAAGTCTTAGTGCATAATGCATAATTCTTGATAGAGATCATAAACTTTATATCACTATTTGCATTGCCAGGAAAAACAATATACATGTATTCTGTTTCTACGACCCATGATCAATGACCATTGATATATTTTTTTTGTTTTTATTTAGATCACTGATATCGTGGATACACTTGCGGTATTCATGAAGCTCCACATAGTTGGGGATAGGACGCTAAAAACTCTGGCATTTTCTCATGAACCAGAAGCATAAGAATGACCTAGAAACAATGCACTTCAGAGTATTTTGTTTGAAATGTTGCAGGTATATTGATCCATTTGTTAAACCCGATTTGTTTAGTTTTGTGGTATTTAAGGTAAAGAAATTTATGGAAAATTAGCAAGAGGCTGAAGCAAAATCTTGGCCACATCTTGACTTGTTAGTTTCTTATTCTGAATTCTTTTTAGTAGTGTTTTCTTTTCAAATAGACCAAAATGAAGGTTCGTTTGAAGACGAGCGAGACAATTTCAAGGATCACGATTAGCTGGTTAGTTCAGGCCCATAGCAAATTTGGGCTCTTGCCTGAGACATTTGATCTCACTGACTAGGTCAAGTTCGAGCTGGACAGAGCTAATTTTCTTTGGTGTGCAGTTGGTGAGGTGTTTATGTGTTATCTTTTAGTGCTATTTTTGTTTCTTGATGTTATTGATATAGTTTGAAGATGAATTTTATTTCTTATGCGGTTGTTTCTTAGCTCTGACTGTTATGGACTTGAATGGATTATTATTTTCATATCACAATCGATTTGGCATTTGATTCTTGATGTAAGTGATATTTCGTTTTAGATATTTCTAATAAAATATTTCTGTTCACAAGAGATAATTTAGGTTGAAGGTTTATGTCAGCATTATTGTTGATGAACTTCTATGTACTTCTATTCGACTTAGGTGAGAGAGGGTTATAAGTAGCTTAAGCATATGAAGTTGTCGGATAACACCAGTTGAAAGCCCCAATGGTCTCATGCCTGAAGACCTAGAATGTAATTGTTTGATGTTTATAATTGAAAAAAGGAACAAATGAAAGGAAAAACAAAAAGAAAGAAATATGATAAAGTTGCCATTGAGAATGCTGAAGCTACATGCAAGTATGTGATTATATGAATCTTGGTGGTGTTTTGTATTGCCTTCGGGTCGGATGACATTTTGTATTTCAACGAACTATTCTATATGTATGCATGTATAATGCAGCGTCATGTGTGCCACAATCACTACAGCTACAGGTAGGAAGCTTGAGGTGGTCGAGTCATTTATCTGTCACTATAAAATGTCTCTATAAAATAAAGTATAACTGATCATAAGATGGATTGTCATGCTATGTAGTTTAAACTACTTGCGTGTGAAGGAATTTGACTTGAAGAGCATGTGGAAGAGTCTGAATGGTGCAATTAAGAACATTTTGAATGGTAAGAATATTTGACTTTTATATTTTCACGCTGCTATTTTCGGACATCCGTTATAATTTTAATTGGATTTTCTTGCAGGCACTGTCTTTAGAGAGCCAATTCTATGCAAAAATGTACATCTGTGTTTGTTATGTTCTCGTCATTGATATACTATATTGTTATTTTTATTAGTTTGCATTCTTATTTAATTTGTGGCCCCTCACAGGATGGGTTGGCCCACTTTGCAACCGAAACTCCTATCGAAGATCGATAGCAAGCTCAAAGGAAGGCTTACGACAGCGCCTGTGTTGACTATACCGGATCCCACTCAGAGTTTCACTATCTACAGTGATGCCTCGAAGCTGGGTCTAGATGCGTACTGATGCAAGAAGGCAAGGTTGTGGCTTATGCTTCTCGACAGCTAAAGCCGCACGAGGAGAACTACCCGACTCATGACCTAGAGTTGGCAGCAGTGGTTCACGTCCTGAAGATTTGGAGGCATTATTTGTACGGCGGCAGATGTGAGATTTATACCGACCACAAGAGCCTATAGTATATCTTCACCCAGAAAGAGCTCAACATGCGTCAAAGGCGATGGTTAGAGCTGGTGAAGGATTATGACTGTACCATTAACTATCATCCGGGCAAGGCGAACGTAGTTGCCGATGCCCTCAGCCGTAAGAGAAAGGGCGAGCTGACCTGTATGATCACTCAACAGCGTCAGTTGATTCATGAGTTCGCTCGGATGCGGTCGAATCACCTCCTAAGTTGCCAGTTGTGGGAGGTATTCGAGCTATGAGAGTGTGGCCCACGCTACGAGACAGGATCCGGCGGGATCAAGCCTTCGACGAGTTCGTTCGCTTCGTGGGTGCAAAGATTCATGCCGGAGGAGTAAAGATCTTTTACCGAGGCACAGATGGTGCTTTGGAGTACACGGGAAGGATTGTTGTGCCAAACGTCGAGGCCCTGAAGAAGGAGATCTTGACAGAGGCGCACACTGCTCCATACTTGGCGCACCCCGGTAGCACCAAGATGTATCACAACTTGAAAGGGTCGTTTTGGTGGAAAGGGATGAAGCGAGACACCGCTGAGTTTGTCGAGAAGTGCTTGATTTGCTAGCAAGTGAAGGCCGAGCACAAGGTTCCACCGGGACTCTTACAGCCTTTGGAGATCCCGCAGTGGAAGTGGAGAAGCTGACCATGGACTTTGTCACGGGATTACCATTGTCGCCCGAGCATCACAACACAGTATGGGTTGTGGTGGACCAGCTGACGAAGTCGGCCCACTTTATGCCCGTCAGGATGGACATGTCCATGGAGCAACTAGCCGAGACGTACCTTCGTGGAATCGTTCGACTTCACGGCGTTCCTGCCGAGATTGTATCAGATCGTGATCCCCGGTTTACTGGCCATTTCTGGGAGAGTCTGAACGAGTCAATGGGGACGAAGTTAAAGTTTAGCTCCGCTTATCACCCACAGACCGACGGGCAGTCGGAACGGACCATCCAGACGCTTGAGGACATGCTCCGAGCTTGTGTCCTAGAGCGAGGTGGTTCGTGGGAAAAGTTATTACCCACTGTGGAGTTTTCCTACAACAACAGCTATCACTCATCGATCAAGATGGCCCCGTTCGAAGCTTTGTACGGGCGCAAGTGCTGCTCACCCATTTATTGGGATGAAGTCGGCGAGAAGCAGGTTCTCGGTCCCAAGTTGATCGAGGATACAGTGCAGAAGGTTGCAGAGATCCGAGCGAGGCTGAGAGAGGATCAGAGCCGACAGAAGGCCTACGCTAACAAACGTAGAAGGGAGCTTGAGTTCGAGCAGGGAGACAAGGTGTTCCTGAAAGTCACGCCGATGAAGGGCGTTGTACGTTTTGGGAAGAGGGGGAAGCTGCAGCCTCGATTCAGAGGGCCATTCGAGATTCTCGAACGAGTTGGCGTAACAGCCTACCATCTGGCGTTACCCCCAGAGCTCGCGAGTGTACACAACGTCTTCCATGTGTCGATGTTGAGAAAGTATGTGTACGATCCGAGCCACGTAGTAAACTTTGATAAGTTAGAGGTCGGGCAGAACCTGACGTATGATGACCAGCCGATTGCAGTTCTGGACCGAAAGGTCCGTCGGCTGAGGAACAGAGATATAGAGCTCGTCAAAGTTTGCTGTAGTCGCCACGACGAGTCGGAAGCGACTTGGGAGAGAGAGGCCGAGATCAGAGCTCGTTATCCAGATTTCAAGTTTTGAGATTTTCAGTTGTACATATATGTACTTTCTATTTTATGCTTTGATGTATATAGTATTGTAGTAGGAGTTCTGGCCTAGCACTTTAGTTTTGTATTTCCGAGGACGGAAATATTTTAAGGAGGATAGGTTGTAATGCCCCAAATCAGAAATAATAGTAAGAACGGTTTCACTGCTCGACTATAACTGAAATCCGTAATTTTTAGAATTTTCGAGTTATTTTATATGTTAAATGCTCAATTAATTCATAAGTTTGATAGATCATTCTTGGGAATTTTCTTTATTAAGTATAAGTCAAGATCAATCCATTAATTTGGGTTGATAAGTTATAGTTAATTGACTCGAGAAATTATCGG